GAATGGAAATGGGGAATGTGTCAAAGAGACAACAACCCGACCACAGAACAGACAACAGCAGAAGGCCACCAACAGGTCTTCAATGCAGCGAGAAATTCCCGCACCCGGAGGCGTCCTTCAGCTGGCCCCTAAACAAATATATATACTAGTTCAGTGATAATGAACGCCATACTAAACTCCAAATTGTACACAAGAAACTAAAATTAAAAATAATACAAGACTAACAAAGGCTAGAGGCTCCTGACTTGGGACAGGCGCAAAAATGCGGCGGGGTTAAACATGTTTATGAGATCTCAACCCTCCCCCTATACCTCTAGCCAATGTAGAAAAGTAAACGCATAACAATACGCACATTAAAATTCAGTTCAAGAGAAGTCCGAGTCTGATGTCAGAAGATGTAACCAAAGAAAATAAACAAAATGACAATAATACATAAATAACAACAGACTACTAGCAGTTAACTGACATGCCAGCTCCAGACTTCAATTAAACTGATTGAAAGATTATGTCTTCATCATATGAATATCAGGCACAATCCTTCCCGTTAGGGGTTTAGTATCATACCATCATAACATATATGAGAAGAACATAACCCGTGTCATGCCAACAACTGGTTTTTAAATAAATGTGTTTAGTGCAGATGCAAAGACCCTATAAGTGAATCAATATCAACGCCAAAATATGCAATCTTTAATGACCTGACAACAGTATCGTAACTATATCCCTTCTTAATAAGTCTATTTAAAGGTTTTGTTAGTTTCAGAGGTGAATACTGACATTTTTGTGCTTTATAAAGAATATTTCCATAAAAAATTGGATGTGAAATACCTGAACGTATAAGAAGTCTGCATGTTGAGCTATATTTACGAATGATGTCCTTATACCGATGATAAAATTTAGTAAATGTTTTGACTAGTTTGTGATATCGAAAACCCTGGTGTAATAATTTTTCAGTAATACATACATTTCTCTCGTTAAAATCTAAAACATTGTTACATACACGAGCGAATCGTACAAGTTGAGATATATAAACACCGTAAGATGGTGACAAGGGAACGTCACCATCTAAAAATGGATAATTAACGATAGGAAATGAAAAATCATCTCTTTTATCATATATTTTAGTATTAAGCTTTCCGTTAATGATATAGATATCAAGATCGAGGAAAGGGCAGTGGTCATTGTTAGTATTAGCTTTATTTAAAGTAAGTTCAACAGGATAAATTTCTTTAGTATACATACTGAAGTCGTCATTATTGAGAGCCAAAATATCATCCAAATATCTAAAAGTATTATTAAATTTGTGTATCAGATGTTGTTTCGATGGGTCTTTACTGATTTTTGTCATAAATTGTAACTCATAGCAATACAAAAAAAGGTCCGCAATAAGTGGTGCACAGTTAGTCCCCATTGGAATTCCGATAACCTGACGATATACGGAATCTCCAAAGCGAACAAAAATGTTATCTAGTAAAAATTCAAGGGCATATATAGTATCAAAGCATGTCCAATTGACATAGTTTTTTTGTTTATTGCTACTAAAAAATGACCTAAAAGAGTTTGAACATATATATTCACATTCTGACTTTTTAAATGCCCATTTAATTAGGTGTGTGAATTTTTTCTTAATGAGAATGTGAGGCAATGTGGTATATAGGGTAGAAAAATCAAAACTTTGAACAGATTCAAAATCACCAATATATGCATGCAATTTATCAAGTACTTCCAACGAGTTCTTGACACTCCAAAAGTAATTAATTCCACTATTTTCGAAGGCCTTTATACTTTATTTATGATAAACAATTATGTATGTTCATAGTATACAGAAAACGCGAAAATAATTGAAATTAACAGAAAACAAAAAAATAACGGACTTTGGAAAAAAGGGAGCGGGCTAGAAAATATTGTCCTGTCGCAGTACCTATGACTTTTGATACCTTTCCTGAAATTCTCCAGTCATAAAATCTTTTACAAAAATTCATCCTACTACAGTTTACATACTTTCAACCACACTCTAAATGCCCGGGATTTCGCGGGTGTGTTCTAGTAATACATTAAAACTGCTTGTCAACTCTCAGGGTATACAATTACGATCACTTATGTGGTTCTACAATTATGTTGTTTATTGAATTTTGTAATGCTTTAACTCCCAAGACTAAACTAAACTTTAAAGGATTGGAATAGAAATAAATTGTCATTGAATCTTTGAAAGTTGTTAACACTTCAGAATATCAGTGATTTTTTTTTATAAAGATACTAAAATTGTAATGAATCTTTTGAAATTTGCATTTACAAGTTATAAAAAGCCTCCTAATGTCATTATATTAATTAATTAAAGCATATGCTAAATACACGTCATTTGTTCATCTCGGTTGCGAAATATTTCATAAGACAGTTAATTTCATGAAAAAAGAAATGAAAGTGATACAAAATTCGGAGACGTCTTGTATTGATAAGAGTAGAAATATCCAACTCTTTGAAGTTTAATTTGAACATTTGTGGACCGTGCTTATAATGACAATAGGAATAAGAATGCACAGTATTTATCGTTGAAATCTCGTTTTGGAATTATTTCCAAAACATGTGATATATGCGGAAATTATCAATGAATTTTAAAAATTTGATAACAAGCTTAACTCTGTGAAAAAAATGTGTATTTACAATAAGTAGTTTTTGAGTAATTTTTTTTATTTAATTTAATACAAATCAAGTCAGTCTCATTAGCCAAAATGCTGAGAAAATAGATGGAGGGGTACAAGAAATGATTTTATCAGAAACATGTATGTGGCACCGTTAAAGTCCACAATTCCTCTAAAGTCCACAACACCGCTAAAGTCCACAACAAATTTCCGCTATAGTCCACAACGCCGTTAAAGTCCACAATTTTTCCGCTAAAGTCCACATTTTTTCCGCTAAAGTCCACAAAATTACCTCCGCTAAAGTCCACAAAAAAAACACCGTAAAAGTCCACAATAACAAGTTCCGCTTAGTCCATAAAAAAACACCGATAAAGTCCACACAATTTTTTTTTTTATTATCTAATAATCAATTCGCTTTTTGTTTTCTCCCGATTTTATATAGATCTAAGAAAAATCACGGATTTTTGTTTTTGAAGGTATTTTTTATCAGCTTGAATTATATTTTTTGATAAATGAAAAGATTATAGTATATTATTTTGATACCCAAAAATTTGATCTTTGTATTGCGATTTTCTATCAATGAAACAGACAACATTTCTGAAAAATTTTCTAGCTATGGTACTCTTTTTGTATTTTTTAGTAAACATTTGTGCACCCACAAGAAACTCCAACATAGCGTTCTCTTTATGTATATGCTGGAGACACTGACATATGGTGGAGCCTATATTTGACATTGAAATTTCCTTTGCAAATTCTATAAAACATAAGAAATAAATCCATTCAGTGTCTGTTATGATCCACAACACCGGTGCAGACCGTACGCGTACTTTTTCAGTACGCTCACAGTCTGTCAGATTATAAGAAGTTTTCACTCGCAGACAAAAATTACAATAAACCTGAATACTTGAATCTTTAAAAAAACATAGTTTATCTATTACTTATAATTGCAATTGACTTTGAACTACATTTCGATTTCTTTTAGGTTGATACTTTGTTTCTTTTTTTTTTTTTTTTTCTTAATTATTTTGTGTGATTATAGTCAAATAGTCGGAAATATGTTTATTGTTTCATATGTATTGGTAAATCAGACTCCATACGATATTAATATTTGCGGGTAAGAGCACGAATTAACTGGTATGCTTGAAACAACACTGTACGTATGAATTTTTACATACAATTTGAAGCAGAAATTGATTTCACAATCCTAAATAAAATGGAATTTATAATATGTACAAGAACTCAATGACTTTTGAAATACACATCGATTTATTCGAAAATATTAAAACACAAATAACAATTTCGAAATAATGTACATAAAAAGTCAAAATGTCCAAAATTAGGGAACAATCACAGATCTGAGTGGTTTTTTTTTTCTTCTGTAAGATTTCTCGACAATATAAACGGGTGTGCAATTTCAAGAGAGTAGAGGTAAAGGCTATAAAACAAATCTGATAAATATTTGTAATGTTTCATGTTGAAGCGTCATTATTTTATAAATTTAAGGTGGTATCCAACACCTTGACTAATATTAATTTGGCTCATTTAATTTTTATAAAATTTTGACAAAATGTTTACTTTGACCCTTTGACAAAAATATAAAAATTTCAAAAAATTTGAACCAACCACTTTATCAGAAAAATTTCATTGGTTATCTAGCAGTTTGACAAACACTAATTTTGATCATTGAGAAGCTTAATATTTCCTTAACAATACAACGTAGTTAAAACGTTTCGCTGATTTTTACAGAGTTATCTCCCTTTAGTGTTAGGTACCACCTTAACATTATCTTTTACCATAATAAAACTAATATTTATCTATAAGGCGCTCCGTGTAAATCAGGAACATATATATTGGATATATTGTTCCCAGGGTAAACCAGATCTAGATATTCATGTTTACACAAATATAAAAACATGTTCAATGTTTCATTCGAACAAACGTTGGTCCGAAAGAATAAAACAGGAATTACATATTTTTTTTTACGCACATGAAAATATATACATTTTGTAAGTAAATACACTAAACGAAAGAGTAAGATGAATTGAATATTTGAGCGAAAGTATTTTAATGTTTATGTTCTCGATCATCGAAAGGAGAAGTATTGATTTGATATCAAAAAGTGCACGGTGTATAATCTCGAATAGACTAAGTTATATATTATTAAACTTTGGTTGTTGAAGGATTTTATTGCAGGCATAATACCCTTCAAATACCAAATTTTTAAATGATACTTAAACTCATACAATGAACACACACTATTGTTTTGATAAACTATTCAATTGCTTGTTTGATATTCTCCCAAAACACAACTCTTTCGGTAGCGTCGCTTGGATATTCAATGTAAGACTGCTGTTGTACCACCTCCAGCATCACCAAAGGAAGATTTTTTGACGGAATATTTTCATAAAATACAAGAAATAAAATGTTCTGTCCTTCTCGCGAATAAATACTCTCCATTTTAGCCATGTTAAATTCAAACATGCAATAATATGAATCTAAAAAAGATTGAGTGACAATGCAGATTGTTTTGTTACTATCGTGTATTCCATTCGTTATATTTTGGGTGATATCTTCTCCAGCAACGAAGTCACGATGATGTATACACAGACTTAAATTTCTGTTTCCTTCTAATTCAGGAATGCATTCGTTTTTAACAAAAGCTGCTTCCTCGTCAGCATAGGAAATGAAAGCATTGTATTTGTAATCATTATTTTCTTCAATTTGTTTGTATCGCTTGTATCTATTTCTTGTCATATAGTACACATAACGCAATCTCCAACGATATCGGTATAACAATCCGCCAGATAGAATTAAAAGAGCAGTGACTATTGCCAAGGAAATACAAATTATCAAGACAGTGTACGTTTCACATTCTTTTTTTAGCATGGACACAATATGTTGAAGTCGATTCAAAATTATAAAAGTTCCGTTTTCCGCTTTACATTTATATGAATGGATATCATTAAAAATACCATGGTTTTCGTGCATCCATTCAATAAATGCAAAGGACGCACAGCTACAATCTAAAATATTGTTTGACAAATCTATTTTTAGATTCGTCTTTTTAGCTATTCTTGAAATATTTTGCATTGTCATGACGTTGGAAAATTTCTTAATCTTGTTTTTCGATAAATCAAGAAATCTTAGCTTAACCATTTCCGAAATATCCGGAGTAAAATCTGTTAATGCGTTGTCACTGAGATTCATTGTTTGAACATTACAATGGCCATCAAACACCTGAAATAACAAAGCGTTTATACCGTTTTGTGATAGGTCAACGTTTTGCAATGCGATTGGTCCTGGAGTTTTGTAGCCACCCTTTTCCAACATTTTTCCCAACTGATTTTATCTTAAATTCAACGTTAGCAGATCACGCATCTGAAAAACAACTAAGGTTAGAAAATTCTCCGAAAAATCTAAAATTTTAAGTGTGCTCGGTATATTTCCAGTAACGCCTGTATGCGAACCTACAAAGACGTTTTTGTTCATATAAATTTCGGTAATACCACTATTTTTTAAATAATCAAACATATGGAAAGGGGGGTATGCTGTGTTATAAAATGTTTCTGACATATTGATCTTTTTTATTTTTGTCTCTTTAAAATCAAGTGCTAAAAATTTGAAGGAGGTAAAATCACATACAACTTTAGATATATCGAGATATTTGAAATTATTTAAGTGACAAAAAATACACCCCTTTCCAAACTGCGTTATTATGCACTCAGACAAATGTATTATTTCCAAGAAGGGTAAATATATAAACGTATTATTGTTGACCATTTCCAGTTTGCACTTCCCTGCCTTCAATAGTGTAAGGTGTGCAAGGTACGAAAACTCTTTCCCGAAGGCTATGCCTTCTGTTGATGAAATAAGATCAGTTTCCAAATTTCGTAAAGAATGAAGTTTTCGAATCATATCTCCAGGTAGAATGTTTAGTATTTCTTGATGTTTCACATTTAATAACGTGAGCGATTGCAATGGATTTAATACAGTTGTATCAAACGACTCTTCGGTATAATTCAAGCGATTGGCTTCGAGCGAAAGTTTCTCTAATTTACCAAGCCCTATAAACGCATTTGCCTCTATACGTATCAGTTTATTATGTGACAAATCCAGCTCCAATAAATTTGTTAAATTTTCAAATGTGTCATTCTGCAGAAACTCAATATAGTTAGAATTTATATTGAGAATTTCTGTTTCTGGTGGGAAGTTTGGTATATCTGTCATGTTAGCATTTGAGCAATCAACATGCCGCAAATGCTGATCAGTCCAACATCTGCACTTAGAGTTGAAAGAACATATTGTGTCATGCTGATCTATGGTTTGACAACGAAAGTGTGTGGTCAACAGCATTGCACAAAGAATTACCAATCCCATGCTTTGTTAAAAGAAATTGCTGTAAGAAAAAATATATTACATCAACTAGTTATAAAACAAAAATAAGATACATGCAGTTATTAATAGTTTATTTTTTAATGATATGACATTTCAGCATATTTTCTTTTAGTTTAAAATTTCTTTTGAATTACGATTTGCAGATGTCATATGGCACGTTCTAGTGGCGAGAAAATAAACAAATCAAAGACAATTTGACAAAAGGAAGGAAAAATTGTCACAATATCTGCAATGAAATGCTCACAAATAGGAATATTCAACCAAAAATAACCTCTGAGCATTGTGACGTCATCAGCTGGAAAAGACGTCGTATATGACATTATACATTGCGGAAACGGAAATGAATTTTATGTCTGTGTAACTAGATATTGTGCGACTGGAAGGAAGAACTGCGCATGTGTGATACAGAGTCACATGTCACAGAGATGGTAATTAAGGTTTTCATGCTAATATTGTAAAAGCATGCCCCGGAAATCTTTGAACCACCTTTTTGAAAATAGGAGTGCACTGAAAATTTTCCGATACTTTTTCGTTTGGAAAGTCTTAGATGTGTAGAACATGTATATTTATCTTATGTCTTTTTTAAGGTTTCAAAAGTACAAAAATTATAACAAAAATACCAAACTCCAAGGTAAATTCAAAAAGGGGATGTGCATAAAAAACTGATGAAATCCAACGTTATCAACCAACTGCAAGAGTGAAAAACAACTGTTATATTCCTGACTTGGTACAGCCATATTCAAAAGAAAATGGTGCATTAAACCTGGTTTAATAGCTAGCTAAAGCCCCCACTTGTATAACAGATTTTTTTAGTTGTATTGACATAATTGGGCGAGTAACCCAAACAGACATGAAACTCTACACTAAAATTTACGACAAAAGAGACGATTTATCGTTCCCTATTGTTATTTTTCCTTTTTTGTACGGTGATGTTCCTTTGGCACCATCTTACGGTGTTTATATATCACAACTCGTTCGCTATGCCCGTGTCTGTTGTGACCTTTTGGATTTCAATGAACGTAATCCATGTATTACTGGTAAATTATTAAGTCAGGGATTTCGTTACAACAAATTACTTAAAACCTTTACTAAATTCTTTCATAGATATAAAGATTTGGTTTTGAAGTTTGAATGTACCTCATTTCAAACGAGATAGCAAATTCTCATTTTTTATAGAGATGTTGTTTACAGCGCCCGAAAACTTGGAAACGATCAGGGTAAACTTATCGATCCTTTACATAAACTTAATCAAAAGGTTACCAAATTCATTTATGTGACAATGATGGGGATCCAGCAGCCAAAACTCTGTGAACATACATCACAGATATTCAACACAACTGACATAAAACTCAAACAAACATACAAATAATTTCAACAAAAACGCAAACAAAAAAATGTGTTGTAGTTGACACAGGCGCTTGGATACAGAACTTGTACAATTTTTGCCAACCGTTATCACCGAACATTCAACCCTCTATTACCACACTGAAAAAAATTGTGCAAAAAATACTTGGTGGAGTAAGAGAAAGTTTCAACTTCCATATTGGGTGCTTTCTCAAAGATTCACATTCTAAACCATTACCTTGTGTACCTTATGTGTGTGTCAAAAGGGAGCTGACAGCGTATAATTATTCAAACGGATTAAGTTTGATTTGTTGTAGAGTTAATGGCTATGTTGAAAAAAAATAACCACGCTATATTTGGAGATGCCTTAAGAGCTTTGCTCTATATTTTCGGGAGTTTAAAAACGGCTTTTGTATGTTCTTGCGTTTTCAAGGTTTTTTTTAATTTTTGTGCTGCTGTTGCTACTGGAGGATTGAATATTGCTTCTGCTTCGGAATAGGATTTGTTAATTCTGTAACGAGTTTTGTTTGGTGCAATCGTGTTCATCTAACTCTTTTTATGATTTCGAACTTCTTTCAAATGCTGCCGCTGCTGGTACTGCTGCTGCTGCTGCTCAAGTGTTGCATATTGTTTATGTTGCTGCTGTTTAAGGATTGGATTGTCTGAATGAAGGTCGACAACGAGTTTTTCTTATTCTTTTGAAGTAGTACAATTTTCAACAACAATGGCAAGTATTTGGACCTAGTTGGATCTCCCTTTATTTGCAAACATCGGTTTCGAGTTGCTCAAGGCTGCTCCCGATATTTTTTGTTGCTCAATACTGCTCATTGTCTGTTCCTGATATAAAGTTGCTCTTTATATTTTTTAAGATGCTCCAGGCCGTTCCAAATATTTTTCAGTTTGCTACAATATGCTCTCGATAGGTTTCTAGATAATTCAGATATTTTTGAAGACGATTCCAAGCTGCCTCAGATATTTTAACGAGTTACTCAAGACATACCCCGATATTTCTAGAGTTGCATCAAGATGTTCCCGATATTTTTCGAGTTGTTCCGGGCTCTTCTGATTATTAACTAATTGCTTCATGTGTATCGTCAGTTTATATGATGAGAGTTGAAAAACTCTGTTTGATATTCCTACGGTCTATTCCTTAATTTATATTCCCGACGAAATATAACTGTTTTCCTCGGTTTTGACATGTAGTGTCGCCATAGCGATCCTTGAACCGGAAGAAATACTCAAACCAACCGGATTTACAGCAGCTTTTAAAGCCTGAAACAACCAAAATAGTTAGATTGACACGAGTGGGGCAACCAAGTACCATTTTGAAATCAGCCTGATCCTATTCGAAAGTAAGAACAGCAGTGGCAGTTACAAAACCTCAACATTGTGACTCGAGTACCCAGAAGCCTTTTCGTAACAAAATCACAAAAAGGAAGAGAAAATATTTGTGCGATTTGCAAAAACAGCATAAACAGTAACTCTCAACATAATCATGACCACCTAAAACAACGTCTTCCTCTTGAACAAATACAAGAAAAGAAACATAGGAAAAACTAAATTATCTCCCCTCGTAAACATGAAAAGGAAAATACCTGATAAAGCCGTCAGTTCCTTTTTGATACATAAATAAGAAAAAAACAACGGCATTTACATTTGGACTCCCTCTGAGCTCATATTAGAAAATAGCGATAAACATCAAGGATATTCAAAGTTAAGAACGCAGACGTGAATGTTACAATAAACCATTGAGTACCATAAGAGTAGCCATTGAAACGACGAAAACATGATAATAAGAATAAGAGAATGGTTTATCCTGATTGGTCTTTGTGTCCAACCAGTATTTGTCATTACTATACATCTCGTTGAATGTCCCATATACCAAACGCAAAATGATATATTTGATTTTGTCCTAAATGCACTAAAAATACTGTGACGTGTATGTTTAAATGAGTTAGTCAAGGAGGATAGGTAAAGATTGCGTAAAGAAAAGCAACGACAACCTACATTGTTTGGACTAAAAATCTCTGAAAACCAACTTTCTTTAGTATGTATCTCGAAAAAAAACCTACTATTATCGTATATGGGAAAAGGGAAATGTAGTTTGCAATTAGAAAGCGCCTGAATTTGAACGTATTTGTGGCATTAAAAGACTTCAGAAGACGGAGCTCATTTCTAGAATTCAAACTTACCCGTTACGTAACTGGACATGAGAATTGAAACCTCCGAGATAGAAATTATTCTCATGTGACATGATTTTGGCAGGGCTGCAATTTTCCGTCACTGGTGGTAATGTGCTATTATAGATCTCTAAGCATGAAGCCTAAATGTATTTGTTCATTAAGAAATTGAGTGATGGTGGCATGACTTTTGTCTGTTTTCAAATTTTTCACAATCTGTGTAAAATCAGATATTTAAGCATAAACTAAGCAATAAAAGGCCCTGACATGATACAATGTGGAACAGTCCAGTACCCACGAATGAAGTCCCTTAATAAATCTACAATTTTTTAAATGGGATATTGTACCGAGATGAAAAATATGTAAAGATGCTTAAAATTGTAGTGTATCTAAAGGGTATTTATCAAACTTTCAACTTCTGTTAAATTTT